GTCAGAAACAGAAAGGTCTTGGTAGGAATGGCCTATCTGTGGCTCTCTGGGGAGATCAACTCCAGTTCAGGAGTGCCTACACAAATAATTACCAAAAATTGGGAGAGCATGTTAGAAGAAGGATCACCTGGACATGCTGCTGCCTTGTATTTTTTCCTTAGGCAAGAGGTACTGCCATGGTCCCAGACAGGATTCTGGCTTACGTAGACCTTTGGTCATAGGTGGCTGTGTTCCAAGGAGCCTCTTGGAACATCCAGGTGAATTAGCTTGTGTGTATTAAGTATTATAAATTTTCAACAAAGCAACTTTTTATTGTATACGTATATGTTTTCTCATATGTGGAGAAAAGAAAAATTGCTGTACCCTGAAAGGATTTGTCTGAGCTGTGTGTTTCACAGCATTGAAGTTTTAACTCTGAAGACATTCACTTAGAATGACCTTGCTTTTTTCATGACTCACCCCAAAAGTTATTTTCCTGTAGGTTTGTTCTGAGTGATTAAGATAGGTTTGCTTGCATATAAATGCTGTTCTACATATATATATATATATTACCTTAACCAAGGAAAGCTCCCACACTTTCCCTTGTTTATGCATATTATATGTGACATAGATTCAAAGTTAAATGTCATAGCCCTTATTTACAAGTTAACATATGAATACAACCCATTTTAAAACTATCTCCTCATTTTCACTGCTGCCTATCTCACCCTTCAGTGTGGCTGCTACTTACGTAACATGGAGCAAATGGAGTTGAGGAGATCACAGCCCTCTTAGCTGCTCTAGTAAATCCCTCTCTGCTGTGAACTTCACAGGTTGTTCACCTGCTTCTCAGCTGTCTTGGTCAGTGCCACTGTAAAATTCCCTTCTGCATATGGGTAATGCCCACACAGGAAATTATACTTAATATTTCGGTGAGTGAAAGAGAGATGGGGGCAGTACATTAGAAGCTGGTTCTCAACCACTCCCTGATTTTCAAACTAGCCACAATTGCACGTTAAGACACCCTGGGAGCTGTTTCAGCAGGCACCAGGCTCCCCTAAGAACCGTCTGTTGGCTGAGCGTAGCCAGAGAACAGTGTGCTCTGGCCACGCTTCCTCCAGCCTGCCCATTCCCGTATGCCCCTGCACAAGGGGTGTCGGGGAGAGTGGTGGGAGCTGATGGAGCCAGCTTCATGTCTGCCTGAAAATTCCTTGCTCCCTTCTCACTGCTTGAGGGATATAAAGGCAACATAGAGCAAAGCACAGAAGCTATTCTTCAGTCTCAAAAGCTGTTAAAAATATTTCTAATAAAGGTACATATGCGCATGTGTGAGCTTCAGAGGACACCTTCTTGTTTCTCATGCTAATTTTATATTGTTCCTGAATCAAAGCCCGATTTTTCTCTTTGTGAAAGTAGTTTAAATTCTGTTCCTGTTCATTGATTGATCCTTTTAATAAACAAGGTATGTAGAGATTATTTTTTAGTAATTGTTAAGGTGCTAGTGTATTAGTAAAAAGTTAAGAAATGCAAGATAGCCATAAAGGGTATTGGTTTTTTCTTCAAGTATATGAACCAAGTATATGGTTTTCTCACATTATTACAGACTATATATATCTTTATTTTTCAGTAAGCAAACTGCAATAAGTGAAGTCCCTGAACCTGTACTATGCCACAAACATACAAAGATAATGATTTTTAAAATACAAAGAAAAAATATATCACAAATAAATGCATAAACTTATCCTGCCTCGTGGTGGCTTCCAAGATGTCAGACATTTTGTAAACCAGCGAACAGATCCAGACCATGCAAAATTGGGACAGTCCTGTCTTTTCCTGTCTGTTAATTTTTCCACTATGAGAGTGTCCAAAACTCTCTGAAATAAAGGATTACTGTCTAGGGGTTCAGAAAGTCATATTTTCATAGAACAGTTCATTCTGACAGGTAACCCCAGCAGGCACATCAGCTGTTCCATAAAATGTAATGTCCCTAATCTTAAAAATTAATTCTACATCCCAAAACCAAATGTTTATTTGTTTTTGGTAGTATTCACAGTGCTGCTGTGGCCCAGAGTTTAGATCAGTGATTTAGCTGCCTACACCTCATTTACGATACTGTAAGCAAGTGAGACCCAGTTTGGTTTAGCATTTAGCAAATTCTGTTCACCCTTTTGCCACCAAATCACTGTACAAGTGTGAGCAAACCACTCAGCTCTTCCTCTCCTTCCCCTTATTCAAATTTACCCGGTTGATCACTTGCGATATGACTGTAACGGAGTGAAGATTAGCCCATGAATATGCACAGAAAATTCTGGAAGCCCTGCTGAACTGAGGTCACAGCGTGAATTCCGAGTGTAGAGGTGAGGTATAACTATTATTGCAAACTTTCTGGATGAAAAAAGTATGGAATGGTCCCCATGATTTCCTAGCCAGAACAGCTAGAAAGAAACAGATATGGTCCCCAGCAGAAATCTGCACTGAAATCACCCTGATGTAGCGTTGACTTGCCAGGTCTGAGACAGGTCCTTCACACTCAGTCTTCTTCTGGGCTTCTTTTAGTTGCAAAATGTGCTGGGCCAAGAACTAGGAAAATAGAAAAAGATTACTTTAAACTTCACCACGTTTAAAATTGTAATAAGTACTTACTTCTACATAAAAATTGTATTTAACTTCACCATCTGTGTTTCACTTGGTTCACATATTCAGGTTATTCTCTAAAGTTGGGAAATTTTTTTTTTTAAAATGAAAGTTCAGATTCTTAACTAATCACCAGCTATCAGGAACTAGGCCTTTTCAGAAAAACACAAATATGCAGCAAGTCAATGGCACTAGCGACAGTTAGTAATTTAGGCATCCTGCTTTTAGTGTAATTAGTGCCAAAATTTTTTTGCATTGTTTTAGAGGTATTGAGGAACTATTTCCTCAAATGATGTTGGGATCACCTACAGGGGTTCCACATCTCTGTACTTCAGGCATCTCAACTGAGGCAGCCAAAAACTGGGTCAGGGCAATGTTCCAAAATTTTAGTGGTGAGTCTCCAAAATTCAAGACACTCAGGGAATGCATGTTGGGGAATAATATGAAAATGCTGGTGAAAAAAAAAAAAACCAGAGAGAAGGGAGTATTTAATTTGTACCCAATATTGCTATTTCAAAATTTGGTACTGTCAATTTGGAACAGAACACGCTGTTTGTTTTAAACCCCTGTGAAAGCCAAGCCAGTTGCCTCTGAGCCTCAGACACTGTCTGAACCCATAGGTTCCTAACTTGCCACAAAGCAATCTGTACGGCTGGCCGCTTCAAATCTGCAGGCACGGGAAGTTTTTGGATGCTGGCTTTCGAGGAGTCTCCCCACTGGGTTGCACTGGAACCTGGAATATGAGAATGTGGGTTGGCAAGAACCTCCAATGTCTGAGAGCTGCCGAGCAGCCCCGGAGGCTTCCCAAATTCAGGCTCACCATCATCCCTTCTGATAGGATGGAGAAAACGGGGAAGCATACCTCAGCTCGCAACCTCAGAATTTGGGAGCCAGGTCCCCTGAAACTTTTACCCCTTTGTTCCTGGGCAGCTGTTGCAAGGAGCTGTGAAGCAGCTGGAGTTCAGAAACATGAACCAGCCTCAGCGGAAGCACCTGGTGACTCTTGCAGGTGGCCCCCAGCCTCCTTGCTGCTTGCCAGGCTACCATGCATGCCGCTTGGCACCATTTCGGGGTGGTTTATCAGAGAACTGGAGCCCTGAGGAGCTATGGTTTGTATTCACGTGGTTTTTAGGGCCTGGGCTCCCTTTTGGCATGGAGGGGGCGATGCTAGAGACTGGGGAGTGTAACAGCCCAGTCTGTCCAGCGATGGAAAGTGAGAAACTGGAAATTTACCTGGATGGCACCCTGAGTCAGCCAAAACCGAAGCATCTCTACAAAATACCTAGATCTGAACAAACTGCTGTCCTCTGACAAAAATATTCCGTCTGAGAATTTCTGACCAGGTCTGGTAGTAAACATCTCCAGGGTGTCATTTGTGCCTGATACAGGGCAAAAATTATTTGGGTACCTGGTGCTTGGGGTGGAAAGATGAGGGAATGGAATAGTAAATTAAAGGGGTTGAAACAAAAAGTGCTGATTGTCTGAGCACGACTGACCAAGTTGTGTTCAGCTATCTCTGTGTGGAAACACACCTTTCCACAGAGGAAACAGCTGTGGTGGGGGCCGCATCCATCCCACCCTGCCCGAGGACCTTCTGTCCCTTCCCCTCACCGAAGGGGACTTTGTCGCCTCTGTTTATTTTTGCTGCCTCGCCCTCGATGGGATTTGTCCCTGGCACTGCTCCTTAGCTCGCTTCTGGGCTTTTACGGCCGCGCTGCCCCTGCCTGTGAGCCCACGGCCCTGGCGGCCCTGAGGAGGGCGAACCCGCACCGCGGGCCTCCCTCGGGGGAGCCGCCGCCTCGGCGGGTCTCCGCGCTGTGGGGAGGCCGAAGGGACGCGGCTCGCGCGGGCAGAGCCCCCGCGGGTGTCCCAGCGCAGGGTGAGGACACTC